TGTTGTGTGGTGCGGGTGCTCATAACATCACTCCCCTCCTGGACTACGAGCTTGTCCTCAAGCTCGAGGTCTGGATAGGCATTGTGGAGGTTGGTCCAGGGGATCCAGGTGGCCTCTGGTGGAGGTAGTCCCTCCCATTCTACTAAAACCTCGAAGGTGCCTTGATGGATGCGGAACCGGATGAGGGCGCGGGGCTGGAGGATAGGTTTGCCATTTTGCAAAGGGGGTAGGGGAGGCACATGGTCGGGAGGAGTGCCTACATAAAGCTTTAAGAGGGACACATGGAAGGTGTCGTGGATCCTGCTGTGCTCCGGGAGCTCGAGTTGATAAGCTACCTTTCCTATCTTCCTTAGAATCTTGAAGGGCCCGTAGAATTTAGGGGCCAACTTAGGGGGCCCCCGGCGCCTGAGAGACAACTGCCTGTATGGTTGGAGTTTTAGCCAAACGTACTGGCCTGGTTCGAAGGTGACTTCGCGGTGCCGCTGATCGTAAGCGTGTTTCATACGCGCCTGCGCCTGCTGTAAGCGCAAGGAGACATCCGCCAGGAGGGCATCGCGAGCTTGGAGGTTGCGGTCCACTTCTTCCAACCTTGTTGAGCCCGACTCGTAGGACAGAAGGCGTGGAGGGTCTCGACCGTACACAACTCTGAAGGGGGTCATTCCAAGGGAGGAGTGATAAGATGTATTGTAGCAGTATTCAGCCCATGGGAGGTACTCCACCCAGCGCCGTGGCTGATCACCCATGAAGCAGCGAAGGTACATCTCAATTGTCTGGTTCACCACCTCTGTTTGGTCGTCTGACTGTGGATGGTGGGCTGAGGAGAAGGCGAGGACCGTGCCCTGAAATCTAAAGAGTTCCTTCCAGAATGTGCTTGTGAAGATCGGGTCCCGGTCACTGACGATGGACTCGGGGAGTCCATGTAAGCGAAAAATGTGGGTGAAGAAGGTCTGGGCGATCGAGACTGCGGTATAGGGATGGGATAACAGGAGGAAGTGAGCATATTCGGAGAACCGGTCCACTACCATGAACATGACTGACTTCCCCCCGACTTTGGGCAGCCCTTCAATGAAATCCATGGCAATATCGGCCCAGATCTGCGTTGGGAGTGAGAGAGGTTGGAGCAGGTCTGCGGAGTGCAGATTTTCCCATTTTTGTTGTTGGCAAACTGCGCAGTTCTGGATAAAGTTCCGCACTGAGGCCCTCATAGCTTGCCAGTGGAAGTTAGCGTGGATACGATGCAGCGTTTTTTGGATACCCTCATGTGTCAAGTGGTGAATGCTGGCGATGATGGAGGGGATTAGGGGGCAATCGGCGGGTAGGTAGATCTTCTTTTTGTAGAGCACCAGTCCGTCGTGGAGAGACTAGTTCGGGTTAGCAGACCCGGACTGTATTTGTTGGACCAGGTCGTTCCATTCTGATGACTGTGGCAGTGTGTTCTGAATGTCTTCTAACAGGGTGGCTCGTGGTTGGGAGATCGCATGGAGGAGCATACTATCTTCTTCTCGTCGGGACAGGGCGTCTGCTGCACGATTCAGGGACCCTGCCTTGTAGTCCACCCAGAAATCGAACCCCATAAGCTTGCTGACCCAATGTTGCTGTGGGGAGGTGGTCAGTCGTTGTTTCAGCAAGTATTTGAGGCTGTAGTGGTCTGTTTTGACGACGAAGGGTCTGCCCCACAAGTACGGCCTCCAGTGTTGTACTGCCTTGGCTAGGCCAATGAGCTCGCATTCATAGGCGGGTAGTTTGAGATGGCAGTCAGCTAGCTTGCGGCTGAAGAAGGCTATCGAGTGCCCTTGTTGCTGAAGGATGGCCCCTATGCCTGTGCCGGAAGCATCACACTCGACTGTGAACTCAAGATCAAAGTTCGGTAGCTGGAGGACTGGTGTGGAAGAGAGGGCTTCCCTTAGGCTTACGAAGGCTGCATCGGCTATGCTATCCCAGTGAAAGGCATTTTTCTTGAGCAAGTTGGTAAGCGGTGCTGCTAACAGGCCGTAATTCTGTACGAACTTTTGGTAGTACCCTGTTAGCCCTAGGAACCCATTGAGGGCCTTGGCGGACTGTGGTCAGGGCCAGTCATTGATGGCCTGAATTTTGGAGCTGTCCACAGTTACACCTTGCCCGCTGATTACATGTCCAAGGTAAAGGACTTGGTGTTCCCCAAAGGAACACTTGGATCTTTTAAGGAAGAATCGGTGCTGCTTTAGGAGCTTGAGCACGACTCGCAGATGCTGAATGTGTTCCACCCACGTCTTGCTATAGACCAAGATGTCGTCGAAGAAGACCAGTACATATTTACGGAGGTGGGAGTGGAAGACTTCATTCATCAGGGCTTGGAATGTGGAAGGGGCGTTGTAGAGGCCGAATGGCATAACTAGGAACTCGAAATGGCCATGATGTGTCCTGAAGGCTGTCTTTTCTACATTTGCGGAAGACATCCTGACCTGGAAATAGCCTGACATGAGGTCTAATTTGGAGAAGAATTGTGCGCCATGGAGTTCATCCAATAATTCGTCTACGATGGGGATCGAGAATTTATCTTTTACGGTTCGGCTATTGAGTTCCCTATAGTCCACACAATATCTCCAAGTCCCGTCCCGTTTGGGTACCAACAGAACTGGGGAGGAAAAAGGGGAGTGGCTGGGCCGAATGATCCCCTGTTGTAGCATATCTGCGCATTGCTTCTCTAACTCATCTTTCTGTCGGTGGGGGTAGCGATAGGGCCGAACCACGACCGGGTCTGACCCTACTATTAGAGGGATCCGGTGGTCGTAGGCTCTAGGAGGTGGGAGGCCCTTGGGTTCTTGGAAAACGGCTGAGTAATCAGTGAGAAGCCTCTCCACATCAGTCGTGCGCGAATTCTCCCCCTGGAGCGCATGTAGTTGTGTCTTGGTCCTTGTCCAGGTTCCCTGCCAAGTAACCGGTTTTCCATCTAAGTGGAAGGTCATGGTTAGGGCAGTGAAGTCCCACAGGATTGGGCCTAGAGTGATCAGCCATTTGACACCTAGGACGATGTCAAATTCGTCCAAGGATAGTACAAATAGATATGCTCGGAAGGATTCTTTCCCAACCTGAATTCTGGTGTTCTTGCAGATGCCGGGGCTGTGAACTCTTTCCCCATTCGCCACGGCTACCTGTAGTTGTGGCTTGACTTCCATGGGCAACTCCAACTTGTGGGCCGCCTGATTGCTGATGAAATTGTGGGTGCTTCCGGAGTCTACCAGAATGCGCACGAGTTTCCCCGTCACTAGCGCCCTTAGTTGCATTGTCTGGGAGGTTCTGATCCCAGTGATTGCATGGAGTGAGATCTCGGGTTCAGTTGGTGATGGCTCTTCCTCATCCTCTTCAGTTTCGTCTACTAGAAGGCATAATAGTTTCTTGCATCTATGCCCTGCGGAGTATAAATCATCGCAATTGAAGCACTGCCCCTTCGCGCGCGCGTTCTGCCATCTTTGCTCGGGACAGACGCTGGTGGGGGGTGACACCCTGCTGCTCCCTGTCTGTGATACTGATCTAGAGGGATTGTCGGTGTGGGTCCTCTGCTCCCTGTTGGGTGCAGGAGTAGACACTCCCGCTGGCCTTGATGGTGCCCAAGTCGTGGCTGGCCGTCCAATGCTGAAGGGTCCATGAGTAAGCTGCATTTTCTGTTCAAAGGCGCGGGCGAGGTTCATTGCCGTAACCAGATTTGGGGGGTGCTGCATCTCTACGTCTATCCTTAGGGGTTCTATCTGCCTTGCTGTGAACATGTCCACTTGCTGATCTGGCCTAACTGTGGCCGCTCTGACAAGCAAGGTTTGGAACTGGCGTTGATATTCAGCCACGGTTCCCGTTTGCTTGAGGTTGATTAGCTCGCCCAGCGGGTTGCTCGTCATCGGGGGTCCAAACCTGAGGAGGCAAAAGGACCTGAACTGCTCCCAACTGAGCCCGGGTTCTTCTTGCTCCACGTGATAGAACCATAGTTGTGCCTCTTATGTAAGGTGGAAGGCTGCCAGGCTGACCTTGTCCCTGTCATCCATGCGCTAGTTGCGGAAGAACTGCTCGCAGCGGTACAACCAACCTAATAGGTCTCTGGTGCCATCATAAGATGGAAATTCAAGCCGGCTGTACTTGGGGACAACTGCAATTGTCGGTGCGGTGGCTTGATGTTCGGTGGCTGATTCTGTCCCGTCCGTACAGCGACTGCTAGTAGAGGTAATCCCTCTGAATTCTTTTCTTTGCTGGAGAGGAATGCTTCTAGCAGGTGACGCAGTTCCCGAACGTCATCTTTGACCTCTCGGACCTCCATACTGGTCTCTGCGAGCCTATGCTCCAGTTCATGGACTCTGAAAGACAGCGGCTCCTGTTCCCCCATGACAGTAGGCTCTGATACCAAGATGTTATGGGCCCGAGCGTAGGATCGCGTCACGGGTATCTCTCCCACAGGAACCTCAGATCTTTCCTTGCCCTTGGCCTTGCGTACAGGCCCTATTTTGACTATTTTGCGGGTGATTTGTCCAAGAGATCACCTAACTCTCCTTTACTCTCTTTCTTGACTGAATATTCGATATCCTCATTCAATAATGGCGTCTCCTTAAATAGGAGATTACAAGAGGAAGGTTCCTTGTTGGATTCGGCTAGGTTAGTCCTAAATGGACTCAAACTTCTACTTCTAATTAGACTACTTACTTTTAATGGTACTGCAATTCCTTCTAAGAATAGGGGACAAGATAAGGGAGAATGGGATAAGGGATAAGGCGCGTTCTCTTGACGTGTCCAGATAAGGGTGGGCCCACCCTATGAGCTGTCGTGTGGGTCCCGCTCTGTTGTTGCTGCCGGGTGCATGTGCGCGGCTCATGGTGCTGCCGCCCCGCAGCGTGCGCACGCGGTGCTGCTACGCCGTGCGTGCGTGCGGTGCCGCTGCCGTGTGGTGCCAGTCGTATGCGCACTGTTGACTCAACTGCTGCCGTGTGGTGCAGGTGCTCATAACAAAAATACAATGAATTGGCTAAAAATTGGAATTGTTCTCTCCTGCAACCTAACTGGAGAAGGTTTTGGTTAGTAGCATGCATACTATATGGCTTTTACCAACATTGAAAACATACAAAGTAAAGGTATGAAAATTGAAATCATTATAAAAGAATTAAGGCTATGTTTGGTTTGAAGGAAAATGTAGGAAAAAACAGGGAAACCAATACAAAGTTTATAAAGGTTTTCCTACATTTTTCTTCATTTCCTTACATTTTCCCTCAAACCAAACATAGCCTAAAGCATAGAGTGAAAATGTCGCAATTCCATATAAACATTTGAAAATTGAAATGATATGTTTGTAATAATAACTTGAATATATGTTAGAGAATAAAAAATTATTCAAGGACCTCACTTATCGGTATGAGTTTCTCTTGTGATTTCCCTTTTTTGTTTATAATTTTTTATTTTATCTTAAAAAAAAAGAAAAGAAAAGGGTTTTTAGGTTATATGGTCCCTTGAGATGGTATCGAAGTCTATTTAACCAAATAGTCTAATATTCGATCCCGTTGCCCCATTAAAGTAATTAAATAATAAGTATGAAAACGAAGTTGAAATGGGCCTATGCTAGTCTATGCTTATATATATGAATTGCGCAAGATATGGCCTTCTTAATTCCTCTTCTCCGGGGAGATATGGTCTATCGTTTCAGTTTGAGTAAAGACGTACAAGGAGTTAAAGTGGCCTAGTCCGCTCTTGTGTAAAAAGGCCCATATTTCTTCTTAAGAAATTATAAAGGAGAAGCACCAAAATCAGACTCCTGCTTTCGTGGTTAAAATTTGTTATCACCTTCCAATTGCATGGGGTTTCTAACTAACACCTCCCTTGAGCTTTGCACATTTACTGGTACCACCTTGCCTTTTACCAAATACCAGAACTACTGCTTATTCTGCATGCCTTCTCTCCAGCTTTCCTCCCTCAAATCAAGAGTCTATGGTGGAAAGAATTCAGGGTCCACTTGGTTCACATTTCACAGTTGAAATCAGAATCAAAAGTCGTTGGACTTGGAATCGGAGTGGTCTATTCCCATAATCTGTTTGGTTCAAACAAGAATCAAAATAGAAATTAAAATCAGTTGCAGTGGAATGAAAGTTCAGTCCCTCAAATGGGAGAATATTATTCTACTAGAAATGGGATATCTGAATGACTCATTTAGATTTCAATTTTAGACCCCTATTCCTACGAACCAAACAGACCTTCAAAATCAATCATCTGTCCCCCTCTAAGCAGTCCGGATCTAAGTAGGCACAAGCACATTGAATGAGCTGAGTATGAGTGTGGGAGAATCATAGACTGATCAATGTAACTAGGGGTGCTCACAGTTCAGGTAACCGAATCATGGGCCTTTTTTATGAATCGAACCGGTAGTACCAGTTTTTAGAAAACCGGTAACTAGAAATGAACCAAAACCAATCGATTAACCAGTTGATCGGTTCAGTTCGTCGGTTTTTTGGTTTTTGACTTTATAATATTATTATAAAAATATATAATAAATAATTATAAATATATATTTATATAATATGTATTTATTAAGTTATAATATATATAATATACATAAATATATAAAAAATATATAGAAAAACATGTATACCAACCAATTCGGTTAACCGCCGGTCTTCTAAATTGGTTAATCAAAACCAAACCGATATCTTTGATTTTTTAAAAACACTGAATTGAAACTGAACAGACTGGTTCAATTAAAGAACGCTTCGGTTCGGTTTTGATCGATTCGGGTTTTCGATATTTTTTTCTCACCTTGCCAATGTTGAGAACGATAAGCTCCACCAATCCTTTAGTGCTCATCAACACCCCGAGCGTCAACGACTCCCTCACTGGTATGCGATTCAACATTGCAACCAAAAACGTGCCCGCAATCTTCCCGGCGCAGGCTATGCTAATAACGAGCGCCAACAGACCCCACGACTCTCCGCCTCGTATTTTTGCGACGTCCGTCTTCAATACACTCGACGCAAAGCAGAGCGGCAGCAACAAACTCGACACGAAGTCTTCTATCCTATCTATCAATCTTCTTGCAAATTCTCCTTCCTTCGGTATCGTTAACCTGAAAACGAACGCACCGAATATCGCATGTATCCCGATGAAGTCTGTCATGAACCCCGACACCATTACCCCCGCCAAGGTTAAGCGAATGTATGCCTCGTCCACCGCTGCGTGATCCGGCGAGCACAGCCGCGCCACTCTGTGCATCACGGGCCGAACCACAACCATCATGAAGGCAACAAATGCAAGGCCAGAAACCAGAACCCATATGAACACTAAGGAACTCTTGTTCTCGCCAGCCGTGGTGCCATTACCGGCGACAGCAATGGCCAGAGCCAACAGCACCCACGCCGCAATATTATTAAAGGCAGCGGCTGCCATGGCTGTCTCGCCCACTTGGGTCGTCAGTAACTTAAGCTCGGCTAAGATGCGGGCGAGGACGGGGAAAGCCGTTACGGAAAGAGCTACTCCAGTGAAAAGGAGAAATTGGCCGTAGCCGACTTTGCTTTCACCGTCCACTGTTTTTCGAAGGACAAAAGCCAGCCCGGCACCGCAAAGGAAGGGAGGGAAAATCCAGTGGCAGCGATCGTGAGTGCTCTTCGCCCACTCCGGCGTATCGAGATTAAATCAAGTTTGAGGCCCACGAGAAATAAAAAGAATAAGAGCCCGATACTCGCCACTGATTCGAGTATCGGAGAGCTCCATGACGGGAAAAGTCGGTGCAAGTAGTATTTGTTTCGTCCAAGAGCCGATGGTTAGGGCTGTTCATAAGAAGGCCCAACCCGACCAACCCGGATCGACCCAATCCGAGTTGGCCGGGTTTTCATAAGCACCGGTCGGTTTCGGGTTGTACGAATTCATAAACTGATGGTTCGGGTCAGTTTCGGTTTTCTTGTGTAAAAATCGAAACCGAACCGACTTAGTTCCTACTTAACTAAGTTGCCTCTATCCTAATTCCTAATTACAACCTAACTTAGTCTTCTAGTTCCTATTTAACTAACTTGTCTCTATCCTAGTTTCTATAGTCTTTTACACCAATTAGGCAATTACAATTAGAATTATGTGTCATTTTCTTGAAATATACAAATTTCAGCCTTCTTTCTATAAAACAGTTTGACTTTCTATTTTCTTGATAATTTTTGTCTTCTATTCTAATTCTAACTTTTTAAATATATTTTCAGAAAATATCTTAAAAACTTCAATTTTCAGTTTTCAGTTTTCAGTTTTCATAATAGATATTTCCTTCTAGGCTTCTATGTCCTTTTTGTACAGGAGCAAAACCGAAACCAACCCGACTCAAACCGACCAGGTTGGTTTTGCTTAACACTGGGTCGGTTTCGGTTTCCATCTCAAGTAACTCGACCAGGTCGGGTTAGTTGGGAAAACCTCAGTAAATCGACCCAACCCGACCCGTGAACAGCCCTACCGATGGTCCCATAAGAATTCTGCCCTGTATAACAGATTGGATCGAGTAGGCACAAGAAAGTAAGCACCGCACTAGATAAATAAATATTTTGACAAATGTTAAAAGTGGGTATTAACTTTTTTCAAGGGTAGGCGGGGGAATTCTAAGGGACAGGTGCCGAAATAATTTTTAAGGGCCCGTTCGTTTTCTCTGAAGTCTGACAAGGTGTCAAAATAATTTCTAAGGTCCTGTTCGTTTGCTCTGAAGTCTGTCATTTGAAAGTGCAATAATTACATTAAGAGGTATATTAGTATTGGTGAAGTTTTCTTTCCTCTGAATGTAGGGAATATTGTTCTGAATTCTGAAGATTATCAAATATTCATTTTGACCCCATATATGAGACTTTTGTTTGTCTTTTTGGGGTATCATTGAAAAACAAAATATTGTATGATTGCACTTTAA